ATATCCTTGAATTAAGATTTTAATTTAAAATTACCAAATTTATAAATTTCCTAATTTATCTATTGATTTGTGGTTAATATTGGTTCTCACAGTTACCACAAACAACTCAATTCTCCCTTGAATAGGCCCCTATATATATATATATATATATGTATATATATAATGCAACCAAGATAGGGAGGTATGACTCTACTAACAAGTTACGAGATACCAGAGATTGATAACTCTAAGCTTGTAGAACAACGGCTTCTTGGTGGGCTTTATCGTCCGCCACCCTTGGGATCGAAGACCCCACCTTTATTCTGGAAAGCTAGTCTAGTCTTCGTCCCTGCCTCTGGTAGCCTTTGATCATCTCGGTGAGCCTTCCCCTTATACATGAGAGAGGTCGTGATAAGAGCTTCTTAGAGAGGCGAGATGCCAACAAGTAGTATAGAGATAGTAAAAAGGTATATGAGGATGAAGAAGGCGACGACCAATTGACATTCCGACATGCAAAATGATTCGGAGTCCCTGTCTTTCTTAGAGAATCCGAGAGCATTTCACTCGACGATGCTTGTATTTTATACATAAATTAATTCAATTTCAATACAAATATTCGATCTTTTTACCAATGCATTAATACACTTTTTCTTAATACATAAGCAAGTTATTAATCCAATTTAATATATATAGGGTTGGGTTCACGTGAGACCAAGAGTTTTTCGTGAGACTCGTAAGACTAATTTATGTTCATTGATTAATTTTATAAGCTAATGATCTATCTAAAGTTGCACAGTGACAATTTTGTGATTTTTGAGAAGTCTTGTGACAATTTTGTGATTACGAATGTTCAGATTGTAGATCTAATCCAAGGATTGAGAATTGGTCTTACGGGTCTCACGAAAAACCTTTGGTCTCATATAATCCCAAGTCTATATATATATATAAATTGCCGAATATTACGGAAAAGTTTGCTGAAATCTCGTTGTACTGCTTTTTTTCTTTTTCAAAGAAAAAAGGTCAGTTCCCTTCCCCCCAAAGAGCACGAGCGAGGGTCAAGCTTCAACTAACACAATCCCCCTGTTAATCTCTATCGAGATTGCCGATTGTGGCCACCCCATTTTCCTGATAAATATCCGCCTTCTCGTACCGAAAGCTGTCTCCCCCCTCCTCTTTTTGTAGAGCTATATATATATATATATATATATATATATATATAGGGTATATTTCTTTTACAACCTTGTGCATTTGTACAACCTTTGCAACCCATTTAATTGAGATATTTATAGAAATGATTG